TGCCGAAACCACAAAACTGTAGGCTAGGACTCTATGTGGATGATACGGCTTTATTGACAGCCTCCAAGGATCCCACTGAAATAATAAATAATCTTGAAAATGGATTTCTAGAAATAAGAAATTTCCTTCTCAGGTGCAAAATAAAGATTAATGGCTCGAATACCAAGGCTATTTTCTTCACTAGGAGAAGAAAACAACGTTTTCTCCCGAAACGTGCTCTTACCTTGGATGGAAACCAGATAGAATGGGAAAGGGATCATATCACCTATCTAGGGATCCATCTCGATAAAAAATTACTTTTTAAATCGGGATATTAATAAAATTTTGAAATTAATTCTAAATAAACCTTTTTATTTTTCGACTCGAAGATTGCACGAAATGGTCAAAATGGTTCTGTTTTCGAGCAAATGGATAAAATGTTGTCTATCTTCCAGGAGTCGTGTTACAATTCTAGCAATCCTTTAATAAGAGAATTAGTAGAATAGTAATATTAGACAAATATAGGGTTAATTAATAGCTATAGGTACTTCAAAAAATTAGTTTAAAAATAATCTAGGTTTTATATATAGGAAAAAATTTATTTTTAAGTTTTTTATCTGAAAATTTTCAAAAGGTTTTTTCTTGCCGTTTTTCCTTTAAGTTAAGATTAATCAAAAAATCTTAGTCTTTAGAAACAAAAATTACAAAGTTGTAAATACTAAAAATGTATGAACTCTTAAAATATTTGTAGTAAAAATGTACAATCTAAAACATCCTGGCAATAAATAATTGAATAAATAAATAAATATAGTAGGGTCTAGTAAATAAAATTTTTTGGTAGACCCTCTGGTGCTAAGGTATCAATCCAAAACACTGCAAAACACCTATGAATGACTTTAAATGACAAATCAGATGAAACAAAAAGAAAAATATTTAATGAAGTTCTTTTGAATATGCATTTTTTTTTGGCATCTGTAGGTCAATAAATCGTTTTGCCAGTACAATGATGGCGATATTTTAATTTCTGTATAGTTTTTCTTAGTTTTCTACCTAGTTCAGGTGATTCTGGAACCCAAACCTTCATACTTTAATCGTATAATAAAAACCTATTTTCATTTGCAGTTAGGGTCCCTTAAAATATTTGTCTTTATATTACATTTCAGTTGATCACCATTTAAGTTCTGTTTAGTAGGCTTATTTTTAATCATAACACATTGTACTTCTTCACTCCTATGTTGTATTCTTCATTATGTTTTATAGTACTTATAAATAACACTACCTCTTCTATAAGTCGAAAATCCCAATATTCACATGCAAGTTCAGGCACACCCTTTTTAACGGCACAGTTCCCTATTCCAGTGACAGAAAACCCCTATAAATGTCACTATTGCTTACATTCCAGAGAGCATCATATTAGAAAGCACCATGTTCTGGAAAGTTTTGAGAGCAACCTCATAGTTGTATACGAGTACCATATTTGAACATAACCTTCATTATTTGGTGATATATCATCGCCTCGTTATATGCTGACAATTTAAGCCTACGACCTAGCAGCCAATATTTTTCTCTGTATGCACTTGTGTTCTAATTAAATTTTTTCTTCTTGTTTTGTAATGCCATTCGAGGGTGTTTCGCAGTGTTTTGGATTGATACTTTAGCACCATTCAAATTTGATTACAATGGGTCTACTAAAGTTTTAATAATTTAATTTTATTTAATTTAAAAAATAAAAATTAACTGAAGAAATAGATGTCATTTATAATAGTAATAGTACTTAAATTACAACACAGATTAGGTTAGCACATGTGAGTGTGTTACTTACTTATCAAATCATAATTATTAACGAAAAAAGAGAAAAAGATGAAAATAAAAAAATCTGATGTGATCAGCATATAACCGACCGCAATGTGTATTGTCTAGTTAAGTGAACATGTTACAGAATATTATAAAAATGTCTGTTACATACTTCTTTCCAATTTTTATAACATATGTAAGCTTATAGTTAACATACATAGAAAAATGTAAATTTGACTCTTAGTAAAATTTTGCTTTGTGCTACCCGAATTCCCTGAAATGCTCGCCAGTTAGTTTCGGTGACAACCAGAACTCAAATATCAAATTTCAAGAAATTACATCAATTCGTTCCGTAGATATGGTGAAAAATGTAAAATCGGCCCGCAGATCAGTTTTCGAACCCTGGTCTTTCTAAAAAATTTATATATTCATTGTTTTAATACGAAGAATTCAAATATTAAATTTCAATTAAATCGGTTGATTATTTCTCTTTATATATGCAAAAATGTATATTTGGCCCGTAATAAACGTCTAGTTGCTGACACTTGATTTCTTCCAAGAGTTAGGAGTTTTCGCGGACGGTCGAGCGAATCTTATATATGAAATTTCAAACAAATCGATTGAATAGTTTCTTTAAAATGGTCAAAAATGTAAAACAGTCCCGCTGAAAAGTTGATCAATCCGTGCCATGGTCGAAATAAACTTACATATAAAGTTTCATCAAAATCGGTTTAGCAGAACTTGAGATACACGCGTACACACACAGACCGACAGACGAATAGTTTACTTACATTCCCACCGAAAACTAGATATGCAAAATTTGTTGCCATCACATACCTACCTATTGTATACACAATACGGTCGGTAAAAATATTTGGGTATAAAATACAAATGAACGTAAGCACGCACTTTCAATTTGTAATATAAAAACTTTTTTGTATTATTTGATATTATTTGATGTGCTGGGGTATTTCATTTTGTCTACAATTGTATCCGCCAAAATAATAATCTGACGTTTTTAAAAAAAATTTAGTAAACATAATTATACAAATAAATTAGAAAAAATTACAACAATTGCAAAGCAAAAAAAGATATGTGGTTCCCGCAAAATTAATTTTAAGAAGCAGATAAGCACAAACATGCACAAACTTATAAATTGAAGAATTTAAAAAACTTATGGAAATCGACGAAATAATCTTGGTCTGTGAGAAATGTACGGAACAAAGACAATAGGGGAAATCATAGTACAAAGTAAAAAGTATAACAATATGATAATATACAGCGCACTATCACAAGAATCTCTAGAATAATTCTTTCTTTTGCCTTCCATATGGACAACAATACCAAGGCTATAATTGTTGGAAACTTTGACACTGACATAACAAATGAAATAAAAGAACTTGTAAAAGGATACAAAGACGTTATTGATTCTAGCAGATTTTACTTATGTAGCAATAAGCCCACAGGACTCTATGTCTAAGACGTGTCTAATACATGTCATGGCAAACGATATTAAAATAAAAATAAATATATCTAGCATAAACTACAATATTTCGGATCATTGATTGATGTTTATATGTTCGAGTCGGGTACTCAAACTGGAAATAACAGTAAAAAACAGCAAAAAACAAGGATTCGACAATTAAAATGAAGAAAAGAATAGACAATAGATTTTCGAAACGGTGGATAGATGATGATAGTGGCATTGTTAAAAAAGAAAAATTACGGGCATAACAAAAAATTCTGATGATTGATATATAAAAACAGAACACGAAAGCTGGCTAAATAGGCTGACATAATTGAAGAGAAAAACGTGAAGAATATTAAGGTTTTAACTGTGATGATGACGAGAAGTTCATAAAATTAAATAATATCAAACATTACTATAGTAAAATAACTGAAAATATGGCAAAAATAGTATGTAGTACAGGCAATTCATTTAAAAAATATGAAAACAGTAAATGATGTTATATAATATTGTACTTAACAATACATTATGTCATATATAATAGTGCAAGCGTTCATTATCTGTGATAACCAATGCTTTCACTACTACATAGCATAAATAGATAAAAATGATAATGATACTGATTACGTCGGATAGCCGGGCTGCGATCAGAGCGCTGAACTCGTTTTCAGTATCCTCTGCGACAGTATGGGGCTGTTTTGAGAAGCTCAATGAGTTAGGTAGGCGCAAAGGGGTCCCATTGTGTTGGGTGCCGGACCATGTGGGCGTGGAAGGAAATGAGGTCGCTAATGCGCTGGTGAGAGGGGGGCAAACACACCTCTTCTTGGGCCGGAGAGCTTCTGCGGAATCGAACCACATACTATCCGTTGGGAATTGAGGAAGGAACCGGAAAGAAGGCGATCGGAGTGCTGGGCAAGTCTTGCGGAGCTGCGGAAAGCCAAGGAGCTCCTGGGAGACTATGACAAGAAGCGATTTAAGAAAATTAAAGGAATGGACAAGAATCAGGTGAGAATCCTGATCGACGTTTTAATGCAGACTTAGGGGATATCTCAGTTGGCTGGGCCTGGAAAATGAGGACATTTGCAGATTCTGTTGGGAGGATGGGATGTGATGCTCTTGCTCATAGAAGGGGAGACGTGCTGGGGGGTTTTGTTTTAGCGGCGGCGGAGTTACGGTCCCCCGGTTACCACAAGTTGCTTGTGTTTAGGAGGGTGGGTCTTGACCGTGTGTTGTAGGGCTTGTCCCCCACTCGGAAGGAGGGCGCCCAATAGCTCCTTATACGTGGTCGCGATGCACTGTTCTGTTCGCCTCCGTTGTACAAATCTGCAAATCTAAAATATTGCAATGACACACGACTTGTTTATATATACATAATTTCAGAATTCCATCTTTGAGGTTGTAGAAGCTTTAAAATCAAATTTGCGGACATGCATCTATATAAGAAAGAAGGAAACATTGTATTCAAAGAATCAATTTGAGGCTGCTGGTTTATTAATTTGATGTCTAATATAATATAAAGCATAACACAAACGTAATATAAAATTACGAAGTGATTTGTAACGTTCATGTATTATATAAAAACTATTTAAGTAAAATTTAACCGCCCTTAACCGCCCTTAAAAACAAAGTTTGAAAAATATGTATTTACTTTAAATTTAATGTCACAAAAAAAAAATTAATTACATACATATTATGTATATAGTTATATACATGTACATACGTATGTATATATTTTTTTTAATATGTAAAATTTTCTTACCTGACTGAGTACCGATATGTGGTCGATGAAATAATCATCTGTTAATGGATGTATAAATCGATTACATAAACATGATTTTCCAACACCCATTTGACCTTTTTCCTTTTCAGTTCCGGATAAACCCACAACTGAAACGTTAATTTGCTTCATTTTTGACTTTCAATCTGTAATGAAATAACATGAAATTTCATGAAAGTATTTATAATCATATATTATATAATTATGTTATAACATGTTAAGATTTCAAGGGTTCTATATCGACATCTAATAATATTAAGATAAACTAAAAAAACATTTTTGCAGGTGATAATTTTTTAATTACACTGTTACTATTTCATAAATTATAATTTCTATTTTAATTTTGACATTTAATGTATCAAATTATAGAAGTAAATCCACTAGTTAAAAAAGTAAAGTTATCATTTTATTTATACGGGTTTGAGAAGTAAATTTAGAAAGATCGTGTTTACAAAAAACATAATAAATTACAATTATGTTAAGATAAAATAAATCATATTTGTTGAAAGATTCAACAATTTACAACTTGTGTATTATTTACCATTGGCAACCAAAGCATAAACCAAATTTTATGCAGTCAACTTATTTAAGGGAACAGAAATCTAAATCAGGCTTAATGTAGCTGTGATATAAACCGCACCCCTTCTTTAAACTAAGTAAGTAGTAAAAATAAAAAAGAATTGAATTATTAATTAAAAAAAAGAAAGATTCCTTTTTTTTAAGTATTTAAAAAAAAGTTTTTAGAGACCTTATAAACAGTTGGCAAATGTGAATTAATAAAAACTGTTTATGTCGCAGAAATATGCATTATTCAAATTAGACCTTTTTGAAGTAAACAAAAAACATGGCCAACATTAAGATTTATAAGTATAAAAACAATTGATCAACGGAGAGTTTTATAAAACAAAACGTAAAAATATGTTATTGAGTAACTGTTTGATTTAGCAAAACTATTTATTTTATTTTGATTGTCTTGAATGAGATCATTGGCTCGTGAAGAGTGTAACAAAAAGGTACAAATATTTACTTCCTTTTAAAAAGAACCTTTTTCTTTTTAGCACTTTTCCAATAATTTTTTGAAAAAAAGTGCTTATTAGTTTTAATAAGCACTTAGAAACTTATTTCTGTAGAACAAAATTTTTACCTATCTCCCAACCTCTAAAAGTTATACTCCCCGAAAACATTGGCTCGTGAAGAGTGTAACAAAAAGGTACAAATATTTACTTCCTTTTAAAAAGAACCTTTTCTTTTTAGCACTTTTCCAATAATTTTTTGAAAAAAAGTGCTTATTAGTTTTAATAAGCACTTAGAAACTTATTTCTGTAGAACAAAATTTTTACCTATCTCCCAACCTCTAAAAGTTATACCCCCCCAAAACCCTAAAAATTCCATTTTTTAACTACTTATTGCAGTGCAACCATTAGCATTTTTCAAATTTTGCTTGCTTCTCCTGTCGTGGCATACTATAGTTAAACTTTAAAAAAACATAGTGGCCGTTCAAATTTACTGTTATCTGAAATCCGTTTTTTTTCTAAAACAACATTAATTTTGTTGTTTTTCTTCTAGACCGCTGGTTGTGGGAGCCTAAAATTTTAGCAGCTTTTAGGCACTAATAAATAATTCCATCTCCACCCCCTCTCAGGTTATCAGTTCTCGAAATTTGTAAAATTTGAATTTTTGACGCTTTATATTTCCGAAACCACAAAATTTTTCAAATTTCTATAAACGCAAAAAGCTAACGGTAAAATCCATGAAATTAAAAAATATAATTATTTTTCTTAACTCACGCAATTAACCCTTAAAATCGAGCATTATGTAAACCACACTTTAAATTAATTTTTGCTTTATTTCAAAGGCTGCATAAATCGTTCATCCTAAATATATGCAATCCTAGAAATAGTTTCGTTTATGATTGAAAAACATTTTAATAGTGTAGTAAGTTTGCATAGACTGTGTTTATCACTTGTTGAAGGGAAAACTGCTAGAGCACAAATCATTGGCTTAACCCAACTTTATTTTTTGTTTTTTTTTTTTTGCAAAATAAAAAAAAATTTATTGCAAAAATTTAACAAAAGATTTAACAAGAATTAAGGCAAGAAAAGATAGAAATAAGAAAAATAATATCAACTAATAAATTCAATGAAATGTTAATGTCCAACTAAGAATGTAAAAAGAAACATTGTCTAATAATTAATGTTAATTAATTCTAAATTTTGATATAAAAAAAATATATATACATAAATACGTATACATATAATATATTTATGCTCATATTATATTATATTGGCTCGTAGTAGCCTATCTTTAACTTCTTACACTTTCTTTTAAAATTTACCGCAGCTAAGGTTTTTATGTCCGCTTGTAACTCGTTGGGTAGTTTGATATCAGAGTTGTAGATCGGTTGCAATTGCTTTAAATTGATATTTGGATGTAATCTTATGTGTAGTGCCGTTTTGGTATTGTAGTTGTGGAGGTCTCAAGTGTTTTATCATCAGCGTCGAGTTCTGAGCCGATTTAGCTTTGTCCGTCTGTCCATTCGTCCGTCCTTCCTAACGATATAGTACAACTTCAATACGACTTCAATGTTATTTATTTATTTCGTTTTTTATAAATTCATTTTATGAATAAAATTTTATTAATTTTTATAGTAAAACACAATTTTAATTTAAAAATTTAAACAATTTATTTTGCTTAATATACAGGATGATTCAGTAAAGAATACAACAAAAAAATTCGAATGGTGAAAATCTCGGGTAACAATATTTGTAATCAGTGTAATAAGAAGATTAATTTCAGAAATAATAAGCGATGGTCTGTATGGAAAATGGGTTTGTAACGTTTGTTCTGGATTAGATATTGAAGTCATCAAAAATTATGTATTTGATTCGAGCAAAATTTGGTTTTGTAAATAATGCACAGCGGTTAGGCAAAATAGGATATATAGGATAGGCATATCAATCAATATGGTAAATGACACTCAGGCAAGAACATAAAAAAAACCAAAGTATTACACCTTATAATGATGAGGAAAAGGAATCAGTAGCTAAAAAACCTCAGCTTATATTAAAAATCAATTTCACTAAATCAGCTTTCAAAAAATTCTAAAATGAAGTTAATGAAATTAAACAATACGTAGAAACTGAAATTAGAACTTCAAAGAAACAAAATTGAAATGAAAATTACATTTTCTGTAATAAAAGACTTTAATAAATACTTTATAAAAAAGTTCATGATTTGAAAAAACGTAAAATAATTGAGTTTACATAAGTAAAAGAGGGCAAATTATTTATTAGAAAACCTTCCAAAAGCAGGGTTATACTTGTTACTGATGAAAAAATCCTAAATGTTCAATAATATACCATTCTCTTTGCCCTGAAATATCCATTTAAAAACCAACCTACAAGATATTTTTGAAGTTAAAATAAAAAAAGAATTCACTCAAATTGTTAATGCAAACATAAAATCGATTATATCTTAGATAAATTCAAATGTATTATTCACATATTAAAATTATATGAATATTTGATACTTGATGGAAAAGGTTGTTTTAAAAATTTAAAATAAAAAATTATAAAGCGCCAATAATTTCTCAGAAACAAACTAGAGTTGTGGTGTAGCTGTGTTTGTGCATAAGGGGCTAATCCATACTAAGAATGAGAAATTTTGCGATGAGTTCAATAACATTGTTAGCATAAATCTAACTTTTGAATATCGCCAATATGATGTTTCCGTGTTCTACAAGCTAACAGAGCTCAATTGTTTTGAGCACATTGGCCGCTTCTTTGAAAAGTTTGAATAACATTTTGATATCTTGATTTAAGATAGATAAGTAAAATGAATCGATATATATTTGCTTACAAAATAATATTAGAATCGATTGGTTACACTATTTGTCAAGATGAAATAGCGACACCTTCTTCGGGATCATGCCTTGGCCATGTTTTAATTGGTAATCCGTCTTCTGAGGTGCATTTGTCAAATTTGTTGAACTCCCCAATCTTGATTTTGTAAACTAGTAAATGAACAGTTGATTTATAAAAAAATTAACTATGACATTATTAAAAAGGAATTGACAACAAAAAAAACATCTCCCCAAATGATAAAAATCAATTCACAATAGATTTAATATCTAAATGCAATAAAATAATTGAAGGCACTTCTGTCTTTAAAACTAAGAAATGTAGTGGAAAAATATATTTAGCTCCATGGGTTGACCTCGAATGTGCAATTTACTTATAGAAAAATTACTGGTATAAAAACATATTTCAAACCCGGCGTCTCTTGAAATAAAAATTAATATTGTATTGAACCTCAATGATGATTATTTGGAAGTAGGTAATATTAAAAAAAATTAATGAAATCAACAATATCTATGCTGAGGTTGGTGAAAATATGTCAAAATCATTTGTAGAAACGCATTATTTGCCTAAAATTAGAACTAATGATTCTTTTAATGATTTTCAATTTAAACCGATTATTTGCAATGAAACGTTAAAATTAATTACAATTATGTCGAATTCTAATTTAAGTGGACGTGATAACCTGTCAACAGCATTTCTTAAAAAATGTAAGGAGAAATTAGCTAATGATTTAATGAAAATAGTCATATAGAAAAACACTCATTATTAGAAGAAAATATTTCATTATTATACCTGATATATTAAAAATATTTAAAGTGGTATCAGTGCCTAAAAACACTAGCGGTATTGCAGGACCTAAAAACTTTAGGCCAATTGCAATATCTTCAGTGGTTAGCAAAGCGATAGAGACTGAACAAAAGCAATCAAGAAAGGAACAACCATCGGATCACTAAAAAAAATCAAATTATTTGCTGAATACACAACAGTATGGCTTTAAAAAGCAATTAATTACCAACCCTGCTTTATGTGACGTTGTACCTAAAATTCAATCCTGTATCGATAAAAAAAGAAGATTATTACTATTTTTTTTGATATCCAAAAAACTGTTGATCGGAAGATTGTGTTAAAAATATTATTAGAACATGGTGTCAAAGCAAAAGAATATTTATGGTTTAAGAGTTACTTAGAAAGCCAAGTTCACTATGCTGAATGCAATGTTATAAAAAGGAATATCGCAAAAAATAGCTTTGGTGTAAATCAAAGTAGCTTTTTGGGACCAACATTAT